CAAAAGAAAAATTGACATATTAGCTGTTTGTGTATGCCAGGAGGTGCTTACAATGTGACTGCATCAAATGTCCTCAACATCTTGGACACCTGTCATGGGGGCCACCCAATATACTATGAACATCCCCTACATGTTGTAATGCCATGTTATCAATTCTGCCTTCCAATGGCATAATCAATTCAAAGAAAATGACCACTCCAGCCTCCTTTCTAACCATGCTACAGGTAGGTGACCTCTGTCATATCTACCAATAAGGTGCTCCTGTATGAGACTTCAGTTTGGAAGTGAGCAATATGAGTGCTCAGTCTTTTCAGAGCACTCAATTGCTGGTGTAAGTGGTGGTAAAAGAGTCCAGCTTTGGAAGTGGTAACAACGGTTGCAGGAAGATCAAGTTCCTGAAAGTTGAATTCTTGCAGGCAGGTGGAGGCAGCAGCAGCAGCAGCAGCAGAGTTTTCATGTGATCACTCCTGTAGCATGATTTTCATTATTGGTTGTGAAAGCTTAGCCTAGTCCTCTCAGCAATTCTTGAGCTACCTAATGTGCTTTAAGAAATTCACTTTTTAAAGATAGAAAACTGACTCACGAGGCTAAGCAACTGTCCAGAGGTCACATAGCTAGTTAGTAATAAAATAAAATGAAAAACTGTGCCATCTCTACAAATTTTGAATTGTCTCCTAAGAGCATTGATCTCATTTTATCCATTTCTTTTGTGTACTGTAATATTAACTTATTGATTCAGACTTCTGCTCCAGGCTAGAACCTATAGACTATATAGTCACAAAAAATCATGATCCTTGGGGTAAAGAGGATGGTTTTGCAGAGAATTGCAGCAGCCACCCTTAGTGTAAACATTTATGTGTTACAATGTGCTCTTGACTGAAGTAACCCTCAATAACTCAGACGTGTCTTCCAATAATGGGTTATCCACTCTGTGACTCTCCCTGAGTCATTTCAAGGAAAGCATATGTCACTGAATAGAACATGCAGCGATTTGTCATACAGAAGCATGTTGCTGAGGAATATCAGGGCTTTAAGAGTCAGCGGATGCCTACTGACGACTCAGAAGGAGCCAGACTTGCTACTGACTCAGAAGTGAGACCTTGACACGGTGCATGGTCTCAAGCTTCACAAGTTGCTGGTGTTCAAGTAAACATGTTCACAAGATCAAGGTACATATGAAGAAATTCTTACCCAAAAAAATAGGACAAAATAGTGCTTAGCCCAGAATCTCAGCCCCAATCAACAGGTTAATTAGTCTCTGTTGCCATAGGAGTCTGAGAAAGGGTCATAATTTTAAGGGCTCTTCATGAGGGTAGAATATATGCATTCTCTGCACGGGCACATGCTCTCCTTCCTCTGCTACCACAGAGCAACTTCTGTCTTAGGTTATCTTTGTAGAGGATGTATATTTTCTTACAAGGTCTTTTTTTTTTTTTAAATGGATAGTCAACATGTTGAGAAGCCCAATGTCTGCTGCCAATGAATGAATGAGACCATTTAGAGGTGA